AGTGACCCAACTCTGCATGCACGCTCAAACGTTGGTCTCTCGTGACTGGTAGCACATGCGCACCAGCGTTTGCCGACATTAGCCTGGTCTAGCCAATTACCTTCAAGGCTGACTCGCACAGGATCTCAACGCGACGACTGCCACGCCCGGACACCGGTCTCCTCGCGGGTGCTTGTGCACTCGCCCGACTGTCAACTTCCTCTAACCTATTTTCCACGATGTCCGTCTGGAACCTACTATTCTTTCCACCCGACCTCCCGCTTATTCCCCTCTCACACGGAACCGGACCTGAAACTCGTATTGGCAGGGGTCTTACCTATTAACTTAAGCTACGGTGATATCTCTCTTCATGCATAAGGCAAAGCAAGTCTTTGGTCGCCTTCATTATTCCATCCGATCCCGTTGTGACATTTTCCTTAACATGAAACTCGGGATACACACAGGGCTGTTGTCCTAACGGCGCTCTTGTACCGGAGGCTTAGACTTGTGTGAGAGTCAAACAAAAGAATCCGCCATTTTCAGCTCAACGCAATGGCTGTACCGGCATAAAACCCCATCTACGCATTCAAGGACACGAGAGTTCTCTCCCACTGATCGAACGAAACTGCCTACAAATAAGTCGCGAGACGAAGCCCTCCGGCTAACTCTGATAGGTTTGTCTAAGTTCATCACAACTTCCTAGAGCCCCGAATAAGAGGTGGACGCCAGGTAGGGTTAGTACGTTGGTAGAGGTATTTCGCTACTATCAATTATTAAAAATAACTGCCCGCCGTGGCCATCCCACATACACCTACTGCGAATATCAATAATACTGCCTTAGTCATTTCAGCTGTCCGCATTGTCACTGTTCCTATCATGCCGTCTCTCATACTATCCTATATCTACTTTCTCTGGTTCCCTTTCCTTTTTCTGCTGACGTAGGCCACCGTTTCTGCCGGTTTACGGATTATACTTTTCCGGTGCCCCCTTGTTAGATTCATCTTTTGTGTCTTGTCGTTTCTATCATTGTGCCTCTTTCTCGACGCTCTCCTTTACTCTTCCCGCTCTCCTTCTTCTGCATTGCCTCTCTCTCCCCCCTCCATGCGTCTTCTTAACACACCCCTTTGTTCTAGTGCATTTGCTCCTTTACGTCAAGTTTTGCTTTCCCTGTGTTCCGACTTCAAAGGATTTGATGACTGGATTTCGACGTCTTATTTGGACGACTTCACTTGCAGTTCAAATAGAGGTCTCAACCAAATGTCGTCATAATCGCTTATTGTGATTGCATACCTTCCTTTTTACCCTTCTGTAGGGAAAAGTAGATTCAGACGCAACAGGCGAGATTCCTTCCGTAATTGCTACACTCGAGTCGCATGCGGAAGAGGCCTCTTTCTTGACACCTCCGCCTTCCTTTGTTCTTCCCGCCTGTATTGCTGTTCTCCCCCACATTCTCTCTCTCTCTCTTTCGCCCGTCCTCCTTCCTTTTGTTCCGCTTCATGGGTTCCTTTTCAAGTTTCACATTCCATATTTTCCTATTTCGAGGAATTTGATGGTTGGACTTTGGCGGCTTATTTTTACTGCCTTGCCGCTCTCAGTTCACGTAATTTATTCTTGTGCTTGCATACCTTCCTCCTAGCCCCCTGTTTTCTCTCTCCATTGTAGGGCAAAGTCGATTCAGATGCCAGAGGCGAGATCGCTTCCGCTATTGCTGGGCTGGAGTGGTATGCAGAAGAGGCGAAGCGTACCTATGGCTGCATCATTCCCTCAACCTCGATTCCCAACAGGCGTCTTCTTGTGAATCATCAACCTGTCGGAGTTGTGGCGATGATTACGCCTGTAGGTTTACGGGTTTTTACCCC